TTTTGACTAACATCTGAAATAAAATTTATTGAAAGAGATGATAAATAGTACAAGAAATGGCTAAATTTTAAGATCCATAGTAGTGTGTGTATTCACCTTGTCACATCCACTGTTCCTGAGTTTGCCTAGTTTGCTTACTATCATACCTCATCTAACTTAATCAATTGCTTGCTATAATACAGCTATTCTTTGTTACACGCCCAGATTGAAAAAGCTATCATGTGTATGGACAACAGTCTATAAAAGTGAACAGAAATAACAGCATAGATATACATTAAGGACAGGTTTGGAATTATTATCAAATTTATAGAAAGAAATTATCTTTGGGGCAGCACCTGTGGCTCAAAGGAGTAGGGCGCCAGCCCCATATACCAGAGGTGATAGGTTCAAACCCAGTCTCGGCCAAAAATTGCAAAAAAAAAAAAAAAAAGAAAGAAAGAAAAAAAGAAATTATCTTTATAAATCAGCAATGATTTGGGATCTTTGAAATATCTCTGAAGCATCCGAGATCTAATCAATATCCAAAAATGGTTTACTGGAAGAACGAATGAAGGGATAGCCCTTGAACAGCTCTCAGTTGGGTAGCTGAGTGTTTCTAAATTCCTCCTTTGGTCCAAATTTTGCCATCAGGAAAATCATCCATGTCTACACCATTCTTCCATGATTGCTTTAAAAATAAATCAATCAATCAATCAAACACAGCCAGTATCCAACTTAAATATGTATTATTTCATACTAAGATTTGAAAATGATTCATTTGGCTATCAACTTTCTCCATCCAAACTACCAATTATTTAATGAATTATCTCAAAAGTACAAGGATGTAAATATATAAATACTGACAGATGAAAAGCTTAAGGAAAGTTGAGAACTGTCTAATCCCCAGCTGGGGGCAGATAGCAAATAAAAACAAAGGGGATGCCAGTTCACCACATTCTGATCTTTAGACAAACAGCTACACTTAATTAAAGTCTCCAATCATAATCATGTGCAACTAACTCTACATCTTATGAAAACCATCCACTTACCATTCTAACTTGTCAACATTCCTCAAAGATCCATCCGCACCTGGACAACATGCCAAATGTTCCAACCAGCCCAGAACGCAGCGGTTACAACTCATCCTGATCTACATAGAACCTACAATTTTCAAACAACCTGACATCAATATCCATCCTCCTTTAATTCAGCTGATTTTTAAAAACAAAATTCCCATGTTGCATTTAGCTTTGTTAGACTTTATCTTATTTTTCCATTTTATTATTGTTCCACGAGAAAAGTTTTATAAGACAATCATCTTAACTATCCCAGCTTCTCTGTCACGCATAAATGTAACAGTACGTCTTTTATATCTTTATTCAAGTCATTTACACAATTGTTAGGCT